AGTCCACCATCCCAAGAGTCCCCAGTCCTTGAACCTCCTGCTGAACCAGTCCTCAGATTCCTGCTTGACTCGTCCGATCAGGCTTTTCACTTCTCGGAGAGCTGCGTGGATGTTGGGTGCCTTTGATGCTAGGTTCAGGCAGCACAGTCCTTCAAATTCCTGGCACTCGTGTCCATGCAGCAGCAGGAGGAAATCTATGGCCGCACGATTTTGGAGTATGGCCTGCCTGGTAATCTCCTCATCCTCTAGGAGGGAGCTGATGGCCATGGATATCAAGTTTGCCTGTTTGACTACCCAGCACTCTAGGTGGCCCAATTCACATAGAGCCTTGGCTGCTGCAACCCATGGAAGGAACAGGGATATGGCAACTCTTTTTGACTTGGGCCAATGGAGGATGTCTGCATCACAATTTGGGTCCAAATTGTCAATGCTTCTCTTTTGAATTTTGCTGGCCGAATTGTTCTTTTGAATGCAATTGCCAATCATGGTTTGGTTGGGTGTCAACAAGGACAACTGCCCAATGGTACATGGCCCTCCTAAAAGCCGAGAGGGGATTCCTGCCCATGCCCAATACCCACAAATTTGTAGTTTTTTGGTGTGAAGGGTGTCTTTTGTTGCTGGCTTTGGGGGCAGTCTTAGGCAAAGTATCCTGGTTTTTTGCATCTGAAGCAAATGACATGTTGAAGTTGCTCTAGTGACATCTGTTGCCTCCTCACTCCTGGAGATACAGCTGCCACAGTCTCTGGGTTTGTCAGCCTTGACCACGCCTCCCGTGCAGCAAACAGTTCCTCCTTCCTAGCACAGGCTTCCATCATCTCTGCCAGTGTAGGTGGGGGGTTGAGAGGCAGTCCCAGGAGCACCCTGCTGCAGGCTTCATTGGCATTCCTCTGCGCCATCTCTTTCACTATCTCCGCTTGTGTCTTGAGGTCCTGTATTTGTCTCTCAACCTGTGCATGGAGCCAGTTGCAAGAAACTGCAAGAAACTTTCTGAAAGAGACTGTTTAATGTCAAGGAAACTACCACTAGCTTCAGCAGTTGGTAGCTGGTTAAAAGCCTTATCTACAGCCTTTGAAATCTTATCTAGAATGAATTTTGACAACACCCAAGCTTGGTCCTCAGGCTTAGCCCACTCCCCCTCGCTGCACAAATGTTCATAAATAATGTTATTATTTTCTAAATCTTTGGCACCCTGGGGAATTGCTTAAGTTCCTCCAAGAGATCCCTGAGAGACCTCTTTCAGGAGCTTTCCCATGGATCAAACTTTGACTGGGTAAGCAGGCACTGGAAAAGATCTAGGAGGTCAGTAGGAACAAATTCAAGGGATGTTAATGTAGCTCTCATCATGCTTCTAAAAATTTCACTATTTCTCCCAAATTCTAATTGACTTTTACATAACTCACGCTTTGTCTGGTATGAGAAGGGCTTGGTATGTTCTGGGGCCGGCCCTACCACCTGTGTATTGAACAGGAGCTACCAAGGGGATGACTTCTTCCTCCTGGTTTTGAACGCCAGGGTTTCCCCTTTCAGCTGCAGCCCTTGTGACCCGGCAGGGGAACCACCTCCTCCTCCAGTTCCACTCCCATGGGAACCGGGAAGGGGACCACCCCCTCCCTCAGTCCCACCCTCATGGGAACCTGCCAAGGGAATAACCCCCTCCCCAGCCCCCCTGCCTTGGGAAGCAGGCGGGTAAACACCCTTCACCCCACCCCCATGGGGATTGGGAGGGAGTACACCCCCTGCCTCTGCCCCCCCCGCCCCCCCCGCTGCCTTGGTAACTGGGAGGGGGGACATCCCCTCCCCCTGCCTCAGCCCCGTGGGAACCGGGCGTGGCCCCACCCCCCCCCGGCCCTCGGCCCCACCCCCCCAGCCCTCAGCCCCATCCTCCTGGGACGCGGGCAAGGGGGCGCAGGAAACGGGAAAAGGCAGGAGGGCGGGGCAGCCGTGGGAACCAGGGCGGCATCACAGGATGATGTAATGGGGGCGGGAACATGAAGGGAGGGGGAGGAGCATCCAAGGGAAGGAAGGGGTTGTGAGACCAGAAGGGGTTGGGGGAGAGGACTGGTGGGCGAAAGGGATTGTGAGGAGAAGAGGGCTAAGTGGAGGGCTGAAACACGTGGATGCCGCCATTTTGGGCTCCAGCCATACGATCAGCAGTATCCTGAATGCCAGCCATGTGTTCGTAGCCATTTTGGGGATGGGGGGTCAGAACGCGAAATTGGGATAACAGAAACTAGGTTAGAGGGGTGCAGGGAAGGTGTTCTGTCAACCTGCGCACAACTGTCAGAGCCAGGGTACTGAGAAGGAGGTGGATGGCCAGGGAAGCAGTGGCAGTACCCTGCCAGAGGTACCCTGTGATTGCCGGGGAGCCTCGCTCATCTCTCTCAGTTCAGGGGCAGAGGGTTTGGGAGGAGAGGTAGGAGAAGCCGCGGCAGGGGAGACTTACTCTGGCTGTCCTTTCAAATCCCTCTTTAGGACTTCTTTCCGAATTATCAGGAACACCGGGAAAAATTGAGACACTGTCCCATCTCCCTGTTCTGCTTTCACCGTTAACAAGGCTCAAATTTTGTCCCAGGTGCTGCCCGATTGATAAAGGACACAAAACTCGGATAAGTTTTGTGTGGCGCTTTATTGAAGGGCCCGGGGGCCTGCGGACTAACGTCCCAAAATCAGAGCCCCGAAATTCACACAAGGGTGTTTTCCTTTTATATACATGCAATTCATAACAAAGTCTCCAAGAAACAGTGGCCCTTTGCCAAATGACGGACCCCTTGTAATACATTCCCTAGTTCACAGGCAAAATCATAAATCTTTTGCTTGTCCTATTGTATGCTACCCCCCCCAAACTGGTTAGTCTTCTTACTCTCCTACCCTCGTTTAATGTTTATTAAGTTCCTAATGCCACCTGCCAAGGTTACACAGAACTCAAAACATATTATCAACGGCTACAAAACTATTTTTAACAAACCAATTCACACAAAACTCATAACTAAACTATAATAAAACATTTTGCTAAATTTCATTTCTTTTCCAACACAGGCAGAGACAGAATTAACATTCTGCTGGGTAAACTGATTCCACCCTCTAGCCTTCTTGCCAACAAAAATGCGACAAAGAAGTCAGAGGAAGGTGAAAGTCCCAAAAGGTAACATAATCCACTCATGGGAATTATCAGCTCCTTTGTGACCGTCGTGGGAGACGACCACGTGGAGCGCCACCTGAAAGAATCCGTGTATCTTGGACTGCTGTATGAGTCCAACCTGGCTAGCTCTGGACTCTGGCCCACACGGTCTTACATGGACAAAAGTAAAAGATGAGAAACGCTCTTCTCCACATGGGGATGAGTGTCCTGCTTATTGGCCTGGGACGGGATGCTTCTGTGGAAAACAGGGTGTGACACGCTTGCAGTAGACTTTTATACCCGAAGGGATGGGGGCGGGGAAAGAGGACCGCAGCCAATGGGATACCATTGAGGAGGGGCAAGGGAAGGGGTGACCAGGGGCCAAACCACCAGGTGACATAGCAGAGGGGTGCATGAGGGAAAGACCATGTGATGGGAGAGAGGAAATAACAATCTACATGACATATCATACTCAGCATAAATTTCCAATTGCCCAGTGCAAAACAACAACTAAATAAACTATTTAGTGCAATACAACACATGCAGAGGGACACGATGACACCTGGAGGACCATGGGGCCTGCGGGACATAGGGACACCCTGAAAGACGCAGCCCTGGGACCTCAGAGAATTTGGACCTGCTGGGGGCAGGGGACAGAGATATAGGAGGAGGGAGGGGGACACATGGAAGGGGACAGGGACTCATAGGGGAGACAGGGACACATGGGGCAGGACAGGGACGCACAGAGGGCTCACAGGGAGCCACAGCGGGGGATAGGGACATATGAAGGGGAGGGAACACGATGCCACCAGGGCACACATGAGGGGACAATGCTGCCACACCTGTGGGGACACTGCCACCAGGACGCCTCCCATGACACCGAGCAGGGGGCCACATGACCCCTTGGCTGACACTGACCCTTGCCCTTTCCCCAGCCTGTCTCAAGGTGTGCTTGGGGTCCCCAGAGCACAATGGCCTTGGGACACCCTGGGAACTGTCACTCACTTCTGGGCCACTTGTCACCGGCTGAACAAGTTCCCATCCTGCCCTGGTAGAGGGATGACGTTCAGCTGGGACACCTCAGTGGTGACAGTGAAGATAAGGTGGCAGGGACTGCATTGGACAGCACTTGGCCATGGCTGAGATGACAGTAGTGGTGGCACTGTGGTGGCAGTAGTGGTGGCATTGATGATGTCCCAGATCGTGTCCTCATCCACGTTCCCCACATCCACATCCATGGCCATGTCCCCCCATGTCCCCATCCATATCATTGTCCCCCCACAGGTCCCCCTCTATGCCTTAGTTCAACACCTTTATTTCTACCCCAGTTTCCGGGCTTTCAAAGGGAAACCTTTTCATTTCAGGACCAAAACAAAGGGATTTACGTGTCCTGCCAACAGAGCATGCACATGCTTGGGTGGGTGGGAAGAACCTTTATTGGATGGGCTTCCACCCCACCATCTCCAAAACCAGGGGTTTGCCCCAGTCTGTCCCCATTTGGCTGTGGAAGATGCCCATGGGCCAGACAGAATTAAAAGGATGGATTTGTGTTGGAGACGACCTCCAAGGCTATCCAGTATTACTTGATGACACCAGAAGATGCAAAAAGTGAGCTTTTTCTGGGCTCAGAAGTCGACAAAACTGCTCTCCACAAGGGATTTCGGATGTTGGGCTGTGGCTGTGTGCAGGTGCCCTAGCGGAGCCAGGAGGATGTGGAGCCCCCAGCCAGGTGTCTTCCCAACACGGATCACCGGCACCACAGATCACCAGGGCTCTGCCCATCGGCGCTCACTGGGGATCATCCAGTGTGGATCCCATGGGGGATGGAGCTGGAGGAGCACATGAAACTCTCCCTGCATGCGGGGCACTTGCACGGCTTCCCTTAGTGCTGGCTTTGTTGGTGTCTGCTCAAGTTAGAGCTCTGTGAGAATCTCTTCCCACACTCTGGACACTCATAGGGCCTCTCCCCAGAGTGGATGCGCCGGTGGGTCACGAGGGTGGAGTTGTCCTTGAAGCCCTTCCCACAGTCAGGGTAGCGAAAGGGCCGCTCCTCCGTGTGAATCCGCTGGTGCCTGACAAGATGAGAGCTGATCTGAAACTTCTTCCTGCACTTATCACACTTGTTGGGCTTCTTCCCAGTGTGGCTCCTCAGGTGGTAGATCAGGTGGGAGCGCTGGCAGAAGCTCTTCCCACACTCCCCACACTCGTAAGACCTCTCGCCAGTGTGGATCCTCTTGTGGACAATCAGGTTCGACTTGTGGCTGAATCTCTTCCCACACTCGGGACATTCGTAGGGCCTCTCCCGGGTGTGCATGTGCTGGTGGCTGACAAGGGAGGAGTTGTACTTGTAGCCTTTCCCACAGTCAGGGCAGAGGAAGGGCCTCTCACACTCAGTGTGAGTGCACTGGTGCCTGAGGAGATCAGAGCTGGTCTGAAACCCCTTTCTGCATTTATCACACTCATAGGGCCTCTCCACTGTGTGCCTCCTCATGTGGACAATCAGGCAGGAGATCTCCAGCTGAAGCTCTTCCCACACTACTCACACATGCAGGGCTGTTCCCCCAAGTGGATTCTCATGTGACAGATAAGGTTGGATCTCCACCTGAAGCTCTTCCCACATTTGAAGCACTAGTGGGACTTCTCCTTTCCCTGAAGCTGCTCCTGGACCCCCAGCTCCGAGCTCTGGCTGCCTCCCTGGCCCAGGGTGGGTCTTTCTTCCTCAGATCCCCGTGATCTGCGTTTGCAGCCCCTCCTCGTGAGGGATCGCCAGGGCTTTTCCTCCCCGTTGGATTCCTGTGCTGTGGAGCTGCTCAAAACAGCCTCTTCCACAAGGTTCTGCTGTGGGGATTTGTCCTCCCTGGTCTCCATCCTCAGCTCCTGGTCTGGGGGAGGAAGGACAAGGAGAGGATGGGATTTGCCTCCGTGCCACAGGGAAGGGCAAGGAGATCCCCCCAGTGTGTCCCCAGCAGGACAGCTTTAGCAGCAGGGTTGTACTGCAGCCAGGGGCCGTGCTGGGCTGGGAGATGGAGCAGGAGAGAGGGGGAAAGGGACTTCTTCCTCACCTGCCTGGGCCTCCTAGTCTTCCTAGGCCATCTTCCTCTTCCTCACGACCTCCTCCTCCCTCAGGCCAAGTTTTGGGAATGGGAAATCCTGGTTTGGGGGAAAACAAGGGTTGAGCGCATTGGGTTTGATTGTCCCGCTGCCTGTCTTGGTTTGAAAAGACAGGTGTCTGCTAAGGAAGGCAGAGCCTCCCTTAAAATTGAAAATGTAAACTCCCTCCCTCCAAATTACTATAATTTTGAAATTAACGGGCTCTCAGGGAAAGATATGGAATTAGGAATTACAGTTCTTTGCTAGGAAAAATAAAATAAAAAATGTAGTTGTACAAAAAACCACTGTCTGAGTCAGAATCCAACCCGACATCCTGTTAGTCAGGGTGTTTGTTGCACTCCAATTAAATGGTGGCTGCAGTCCTCCTGGAGGGACAGATGTGGTTCTGTTGAAGCAGTGATCCTGTTGAAGGGTGTAGTTTTCCTCCAAAGGTCCAGTGGTGGTGTAGCTAAGTCTTGTCTTCCTCAGCAAATCCAGTGGAGAAGAAACGCTGCTCCTCTGGGAATCCAGTGGGAAAAGCCTGACTGTGGTGTTGAAATCTCTGACTGTATCCAGCTAGGAATGCAGCCCCCAGTTTGCCCAGTTTGCCTCTCCTTCTCCCCAGGCAGGGTTCTCCCCCGGCCCCAGCGGGTGGGAGCAGCCGAGAGCCCCGCGCTGCCCATCCCAACCTGTCCCAGCTCCATCCCTGCTCCTGCCGCGGGCTGCGAGGTCTGCGGGCCCGGGGCAGGAGGAATGGAATGGTGGAGTGGGGAGGGGGAAGCAGCAGGACAGGGGCTGGAGGGAACAAGAGAAGGAGGAGGAGCAGGAGGCAGGGAGGAGGACGGGTGGGAGGAAGAGCTGGGAGAGAGGAGGAGGAGCGGGATGTGGAATTGGAGGGACCACACGCTCCAGCCACGTGGGTGGGGGTATGTATTCCATTGCCATCTGTTAGAGATGGGCCAGTTATCTTCTGTTAATTGGGCAGTTTTCTTTATCTCTTCCACAACCCCTCCAAGGGAGATATCTTCTGTTAATGGGCCATTGAGCCTCACTGCAGGACTGATAAAATTACATCATCCCATTGTGAGATGCCCCACCCATGGGGAGCAGTCAAGCATTCCTACCTGGATATAATCAGAGGTTTCAGACCAGCTCTGATCTCCTCAGCCCACCAGCACACTCACACAGAGGAGACACCCTTCCTCTGCCCCGATTGTGGGTAAGGGCTTCAAATACAACTCCTCCCTTGTCAGCCACCAGCACATGCACACCCGGGAAGAGGCCCTATGAGTATCCAGAGTGTGGGAAGAGATTCTCACAGAGCTCTAACTTGAGCAGACACCAACAGAGCCAGCACTAAGGGAAGCCGTGCAAGTGCCCCGCATGCAGGGAGAGTTTCATGTGCTCCTCCAGCTCCATCCCCCATGGGATCCACACTGGATGATCCCCAGTGAGCGCCGATGGGCAGAGCCCTGGTGATCCGTGTTGGGAAGACACCTGGCTGGGGGCTCCACATCCTCCTGGCTCCGCTAGGGCACCTGCACACAGCCACAGCCCAACATCCGAAATCCCTTGTGGAGAGCAGTTTTGTCGACTTCTGAGCCCAGAAAAAGCTCACTTTTTGCATCTTCTGGTGTCATCAAGTAATACTGGATAGCCTTGGAGGTTGTCTCCAACATAAATCCATCCTTTTAATTCTGTCTGGCCCATGGGCATCTTCCACAGCCAAATGGGGACAGACTGGGGCAAACCCCTGGTTTTGGAGATGGTGGGGTGGAAGCCCATCCAATAAAGGTTCTTCCCACCCACCCAAGCATGTGCATGCTCTGTTGGCAGGACACGTAAATCCCTTTGTTTTGGTCCTGAAATGAAAAGGTTTCTGTTGATCCCTTTGAGACATGGGGCTGGGAATTAACTTGGGTTAGAAATCTATATCAGATTTTGTCGAATTGTGCTGCCTTGAATTATTTAATCTGTAGAGTCTATTAATTTCCTGTGCTTGTAGCTCACAAGACTGCCTCAAACAAGATGACAGGAATGTGAATTTCCAACTTAGAGGAAAATAAGAGAGGCCACTTGGACCTTGAATGAAGAAGGAAACCAAAACCAACAGGGTCTCAGGTTGGATTCTGACTCTCTCTGTGATATTTTTGTAGTACTGCACTTTTATTTCAATTTTCCTAGGAAAGAACTATTCTTCCTATTCCCATATTTATGCTTGACAGTCCCTTAATTTAAAAATTGTATTAATTCTGAGGGAGTTTACATTTCCCGTTTCAAGGAAAGGTCCTACCATTGTTAACAGACACCTGTCTTTTCAAATCAAGACAGGCAGAGGGACCATGAAACCAAACACGCTCATTCCTTCTTTTCCCCCAAACCAGGATTTCCCATTCCCAAACCTTGGCCTGAGGGAGGAGAAGGAGGAGGCTGCAAGGAAGAAGATGCCCAGGGAGCCCAGGCAGGTGAGGAGGAAGTCAGTGCCCCTTTCCCCCTCTCTCCTGCTCCATCTCCCAGCCCAGCACAGCCCCCGGCTGCAGGACAGCCCTGCTGCCAAAGCTGTCCTGCTTGGGACACACTGGGGGGATCTCCTTGCCCTTCCCTGTGGCACGGAGGCAAATCCCATCCTCTCCTTGTCCTTCCTCCCCCAGACCAGGAGCTGAGGATGGAGACCAGGGAGGACAAATCCCCACGGCAGAACCTTGTGGATGAGGCCGTTTTGAGCAGCTCCACAGCACAGGAATCCAATGGGGAGGAAAAACCTCGGAGATCCCTCACGAGGAGGGGCTGCAAACGCAGATCACAGGGATCTAAGGAGGAAAGACTCACCCTGGGCCTGGGAGGCGGCTGGAGCTCAGAGCTGGGGGTCCATGAGCAGCTTCAGGATGGGGAGAATCCACACCAGTGCTCAAAATGTGGGAAGAGCTTCAGGTGGAGATTGGAACTGATCTGCCACAGGAGAATCGACACAGGGGAACAGCCATACAAGTGTGGGGAGTGTGGAAGGAGCTTCAGGATGAGCTCTGAACAGACCAGACACCATAGGAACCACACAGGGGAACAGCCCTACAAGTGTGCCATCTGTGGGAAGAGCTTCTGCGACCGTGCCAACCTGATCAAACACCTGAGGAGCCACATGGGGGAAGGCCCCTACATGTGGGAAGAGCTTCAGCCAGAGCTGCCACCTGATTGTCCACATGAGGAGCCACAATGGGGAGAGACCCCACAAGTGCAGGGAGTGTGAGAAGAGCTTCAGCCACAGCCTCAGCCTGATTGTCCACCTGAGAAACCACAGCAGGGAGAGGCGCTACGAGTGTGAGCAATGCAGGAAGAGGTTTCTGAGCCGTCCTCCACCACCAGCGCATTCACACAGAGGAGAGACTCTTCTACTGCCCTGACTGTGGGAAGGGCTTCAACCACAACTCCAACCTCATCAGGCATCATCGCATCCACACCAGCAAGAGGCCCTATCAGTGTCCTGAGTGTGGGAAGAGCTTCTCACAGAGTGGTGACTTGACCAGAGACCAACAGAGCCACCACTAAGGGAAGCCCTCTGTTGAAGATTGCAATTCAAGATATTTCCCATTACCATCTGTATGGCAGATTACCTTTGTGAAGTTGACAGTTTACCTTATCTCTCTTTTTGAGTGACCACATTCACACCTCCCTGGGGAGGGGACATCTGCTGATAACAGACTATTGAATGTCACTGCATGACTGATAAGAACTATAGCATCCCATTGTGAGATGCTCCGCCCACAGGCAGGAGCCAAGCATTGCTACCCAGATATAATCCAGAAGTTTTTTAAACACCAGCAGGGCTTTCTCCACGGGATTCCCCAGAGGAACAGCAGCTGTCTCTTCTTCCCCTGGATCTTCAGAGGAAGAATGCATCCTTCTTTACAGATCCCCCTTGCTCCAACAGAACCACACCTGACACTTCAGGAGGACTGCAGACACATTTCCAATTGGACTGCCACCCATAGGGTGTCAGGTTGGGTTCTGACTCTGTGAGTGTTGTTCTAGTGTACATTGTTTATTTTATCAATTTTTTTCCCTTTTCCCTATTAAAGAACTGTTATTTTCTGCTCCCATATTTTTGCCTGAGAGTCCCTTAATTTCAAATTTAGTATCTCAAGTCCTAAAATCTTTTAAGTACAATGTTTACACAAAGAACCAAAGTTGACTTACAACCTAACTCATCATAGCAGAACAATTTACACTACAAGCGCACCAAATACTAGCGCAAATATCACTGTAATCTCTCACATGTTTTAGCCCAGTGATTAAGATCTAGAAGCTCCTGCAAGTTCCCTCACAAAGATTAGAGGCACTACTCTGTGTTTACAAAGTACATCCATAATTAACAAGTCCTAAAAGAAAGGCAGCAGCAGTGCATCCTTTTGTTGTTCAGAATCCT